ACTGTTATGGTTTTAATATGACGTGGGGAACTTTTTGTCCTGGACAAAATGTGACAGTTAGTAGCCCTCAACCCAACAGACCCTTGGCAGACACTCCTCTACTTCATTGCCAGTAGCTCTGTTCTCGTTACATAGCCTCAACTCCAGCCAAAATGACTCGAAGTCAGTTCCTGAGCCTGGTGACATGTAGAACCATGTTTAGGAGGACATGTCTTTCCAAGCCCAATTAGAAATGGAGGCTTTCCTTCAATATGTCTGAACTGATGGAAGGGTAGGTGAGTTTTTGATTCATATATCTCCTCAGCAGGTACAAGAAACCTGAGCCTCCCAGGCTCATCCCTGCTCTGGAAACTAGCTGACTGACCCGAGGCCTAGAAAGCTTGATAAGACACCTGGCCAATCAGTGCATACACAAGTGAGCCCTGAAAACAAGGTAAGGAGCGATGGCATTGGGTGTGGAATGCTGCAGGTGAGAGCCTATAGGACTCTAAGGGGTTCTGCTTACTCATCTAAGAACACCTACTATCTTCCTATTAGTCAGCAACCATGAGGTGAGACCAGCAGTGGCCAGGTATGGGGTCGAGCACCTTCCTCCATGTGCTCTCTACAGACCTGAGCTCATGGTCCCCACCCTGTAGCAGAAGACATGGAAGCTCAGATGTAATAGGAACTTGCTTAGCACTTCCAGCTTATGGCTGGCAAAACCTGGGATTATGTCCCAGGCTGCTTGATATGATAGAGTCTATGGGAAACAGAAAGGAGTTGGAGGAGAGTCTACAAGGACATGACTCACACTCTGGGGTCCCAAAACAAGCAACCTGACTTGGCAATGACATCGGAACTTATGGGCTCAAACAGCCCCACCATGAATCACCTGACTCCACCTCTCAGCGTCTCCCTGTTTCTTCTTTTGTAGTGAGAACAAATAGTAATGCCTGTACCCGGTTCACCTTAAGCATTAACTGAACTTGAAGAAGCTCAGACAGTATCTGCTTGTGGCCAGGGCTCCTAGTGGCAGCAGCCAACCCCTTCTCAAGTGCAGTCTTGTTGAACTAGAACTTGATAATGCCGAGTAGCTGTCATTAGGGAGTTGGGACAGACTCCAAGCACAGAGTCCACTACCCCATGAGCCAGGTGCATAGGTTTGGAACCCTCAGATATAAAACTCCCATGAGTCACTACACCCTTCCCACACCCTGGAACCCGGTGTGATTGGCACACACCCAGCATAATCCTAGGGTCCCATTGGCTGCCTCAGCCTCTCCTCCCTGGAAAGCTATGGCTCAGTGCAAAGATGGAGCTGAGCTGAGAACCTGGTTGAGCCTCCTGGAGTGTTTGTGTTTCCCACCCATCCCCCTCCTAAGCCATAGTCTTCTGGAGATATGCTCTCATTGGGTCAACTCTGAAGCCATGTGGCCCAGCAAGAAGGCCTGGCAACTCTGTATATCTACTCAACCTCAGGGGTCACATGACTTCCTAGGTGGGGCTTTCCACCTGAGCTGCCTGGATAGGGACCAAGTGCTGGTAGCAGTTTTGAATACACCTCCAAACCACCCTATTAATGACAATAGCAGTTGGGACTTCCATCGCCCACTGAGCACTCAGTATGTGCCAAGACCTGTGCTCAGTCCTTCTACACATCCTCTCACTCAACCCTCATAATAACAGCTTCATGAGATGTGAGACTGGCATTATCAGTAGCCAGCCAAGGAATAGCAGAGTTGGCAAAAATGGCTCTTGTTCAAAATGTGCGGGTCCCTGAAGTTAAACCCCACCACCACCATCTACACCCTGCATAAATAGATGGGTGCCAAATCCCACAGAAATCCCAATGGTGGGGTGATGCAAGGTCCACACAGGCTCTGCCAGGAGACCATAACCCTGCCCCTCCAGTGACTCCAGTCCTCAGACCTGTCCCACTGCCTCTGGGGGCTCAGTCCCAGCCATTCCTTCTCCTTAGAGCTCACACCCCTCTCCAGTCCTGCTGTGCCTGCCCAATACTTAGAAGCCATAGAGGTGACTGGGAAAGAATCCTTTGTCCTCTACGAACTGCTATCCTCTGTCTTGTGTTTCAGCACCATCTTCCCCAGGGACTGACCTGGGGACAAACATCAGACTTCTTTTGAAATGCCCCTGCAATGTTAAAAATTGTGCTGCACTTCTAGATGTCTCCGAGTGCACGAGGGAGTGCACGAGTGTGTGAGGGTGTATGTGAGTGACTGGGTGAATGAGTGGATTGTGTTGGATTAAAAGATAATAATGGGTTTGGGGGAGAAGAGAGCATAGAAGGAGAAAAGGGGAGAAGGAATGGATGGATGAGTGAAAATGAATGAATGAATGAATGAATGAATGAATGACAAGGGAGAGGCATCCTTCTGCTAGTCCCACTCTCAGGGATAAGGAAGCAGAAATTCCAAGACAGGACCTGCCCCAACAAGCCAGGTCCCCTAGCAAAGAACAAAAGACAGTCCCAGTGAGGAAACTCAAAGGTATGGCTGAAAAATCCTGATAAGATGTTTTTAGATAATAGGATTAAAAAAAAAAAACAGATAAGTAATGTTCTCAGTGCTGTGGAATAGCCTATAAGTTGTGCTGTTTCGTGTCTTTTCTTCCCCCTTAGAATTTAAAAAACTAGAATAAAATAATTGCCTAGAACTCCGCATCAGCAGGAACTAACATTGTTTAGGAGCACCCTGATAATTTCTTGCTCAAGATCTCTGTCCTCTGTTCCATTCTGCTCTCTGCTGTACACAAAGCATGGTATGGACATACTCAGCCATGCCCTAAAATACCTTCTACCTTCTTGCCTCCTTCTTCTGCCCATCCTTGAAGGTTTCCACCAAATTCAAATCTTCCTGGAACCCTTCCCTAATCACCCCCGACATTCAACAATCACAACTCAAGATCCTGCCCCGCCCTGGCTCTTGCTACCCCTGAGCTGATCCTGGGAGGGAGATAAGGAGGTCTGCAACTGGATGATTGCTTCATGGGAGCCATGCCTGTTATCCAGTGGATGCAGCTAATTCCATGTCCCTGCCCCTCTCTGGCTGAGCCCCGGTAGGCATGAGCACAGGATTCGCTGAATGGGGTAGGGAGGTCCTCATGCATTACCTTCTAATTCATTCCCTGAAGCATGAGTGTCTGTGAGTGACACCAGATAGTATACCTAGAAAGTAGACAATAAATTGACCACCTTGAAAGAAAGTACCCTGTATCATCTCATCTCTCTCCTGATGTCATGGAGAGAGTAATAGGATAGGAGTCAAAAGAACTGAGGAGTCCTAGGACTTCCGATTGTTGTACAGTGTTCCAGTTTGTCCATTGGTAGCCTCGATTAAAGGAGTCCCTGTGCATGCCTGGGCACACACTAAGGAAGGAACAGAGCAGCCCCAGCCAAGACACTTCCACTCTGCCTGTGGATGTTTTCTCCTAGGACCTACCTGGAGTGCTTCTGCTGAACCTCTGGATTCTTCCTGTTTGGCTGAGTCACCAAATATATGGTAGCATTAGCAGCACTGTCCTGGCCTCAAGTAAGAGTCCAGAGACAAAGGCAGAAGAGCTGGGTGATGGCCAGGACTCAGCCCCTCAGTGCTGTGTGGTCTGGTGTATGTCACTGCTAGCTCTGGGTCTGTGTTCTGAACCAATGAATGAGTCAAAAGGCAGAGAGGCCAGCATGGGGCTTCTCATAGACCCAGCTTCTGTGACCAGTAGGGGGTCCAAAACCTAGCTCAATTGAGCTCCAAGCACCTGTTAGAAGAGCTCGGCTGGGAGAATCCACACACCCCGAGCTCCACTTCACACAGCAGTCCCCTGCACGGCACTGTCCCTGACACCCTATACTTCCTGTGACCAGGATATGGGAGTTCATGCGGCCTGTTATGACAAAGGCCAATGAACAGAGATGGGAATCTAATCTACATTGTATTTTATTAGGAGAGATGGTGGCCTGAAAAAGTGATGGGTTTACATCACTCAAGAAAGACAGAAAGAAAGAAAGAAAGAAAGAAAGAAAGAAAGAAAGAAAGAAAGAAAGAAAGAAGAGAGAAGAGGAGAGAAGAGAAGAGAAAGAAGAGGAGAGAAGAGGAGAGGAGAGAAGAGGAGAGGAGAGGAGAAGAGAAGAGAAAGAAGAGAAGAGAAATCCTGCCTTTTGTCTCATCTCCCACTATCAACTTAGCCAGACATGGGGCTGGGTGAGAGAGTAAAAGCTGTCAGTCCCCCTGGAGTTCAAGCTCGCCTCTCTAGTCAGGCCATCAGACGCATTCCTGAGACTTGCGATGGCTGTGCCTCTGTCATCTTGGTACTCTTTCATTCTGTGGATGTCTGTGCTCTGGGACGTCCTGAAATTCTAAATCTAGTGCGCATCTGCCATCATCAACCTTGTGCTCCTCCTGGGACATCTGAGCTGCAGGTGGGAATTATTATTATTACTGCATACATGCTAAGCTCCTAATGTCTGTACACTACAGACCCCTTTACAATATGGAGTGCAAATGTGTCTTTGTGATACAGAATGTAAATGTGCCCCTATCTGTCCCTCTAGGGTCCTCTATTGTTCCTGTATTCCCACGTTAGGAACATGGATTTGCCGGACTCTGTCTTCACCGTCCAACTGGTGCTCCCTGGTTGGCCCTGGGAATCATCTCTGTTGAGCTGATCCATGTAGGGAAGCAGGGAGACAGGGGCTAGCCAATGGTTAGAATGTAGGAAGGAATGAAAGATGACCACTAATCCCACCAGGGATGCTAAAGAAGACTGGAGCCTTTGCATTTATTTTCTCAGCTATCTTAGGGTAGGTGCCTGCAAGCAAGGCCAATCTGGGAACACTGACCAGCACCCACCAAGATTGAGGTGTTCAGGGGGAGAGTCAGTAACTGTTGACCAGAACGTAAAACATCTCCAATATTAAATATTTTTTGATCACTCATTGACGTTAATGCATCCCATGCCCAAACACCCCTGGACACTAACCGTGGGAGAATCAAGAGTCAACAGGGATCAGGTTTGCTATGCCAAGAAAACATTTTATTGGGTATGCTTCCAGGGGAACCTGGTTTTGCATGGCGTAAAAAGCACAGTTAAGACCAGAAACAATAGATGAATTTTAGTAGAAAAACCTGCTAAGCAAGGAGGGCCTTAGAGAAATGCAAGATCATTTAGCCGCCAAGAGCCACAAGGTGTCCTCCTGTGGCCTAGGCCTCACTGGTAGCTGGTCACAGTGCACGGGGCACCACATGCTCCCTGGAGGAGACGATTCTTCCATCTCTGATCTCCTCGGTGATAGTACGAATCTGGGTGCTGACTTGGGGAGCCGGAGTGCAGGGTCCAGCAGGGGTGCAGGGTGTAGAGGGGATATAAGGAACTCTTACGGCAGGCTTACACTCCGTGGAACAAGGGTGGGCAGGAAGCCTGAAGAAACGAAATCTCCCTGTTATGCACTTGGCATTAGAGCATTAGACAGATTTAGGGGATCATGCCAGACAGTGGTAACGACAATGAATGACATCAGAACATTTCAATGACTCTGAGACGCCAAGGAAGGGGGAATGGGGCTGCGGGATGGAAGACTAGGAACATCCACCAAAAAGATGGTCAAAGGTGGGCTTGTGCCTAGGCTTAGCTTGTCCCCTTGTGCATTTTCAAAGTCCTGGACCAGAAGGAATCTTCAATGGCTTTAGCTCATCTTTATAACAACTACTTATCTCTGAAAGTGTGTCAATCCCTTCTCTTAGGCCCAGCTCTAGGAGTCCCAGGGTCACTCACTTGCAGTCCTCGCCCTCCAGCAAACGACGGTAGGTGGCAATCTCTGACTCAAGCCGGGCCTTGACATCCAGTAACACTTGATATTCATGGTTCTGCCGCTCCAGGTCACAGCGAATCTCAGCCAGCTGGGACTCCACATTGGTGATCAGACACTGCATCTGACCCAGCTGGGAGCCATAACGGGCCTCTGTCTCAGCCAGGGTAGATTCCAGAGAATTCCGCTAAAGTGGGGAAGAGCAGCTATTGAGGAGAAGGAATTCCACCCTAAATACCCACTGTCCTAGCATCCACGCACAGTGGTGATTAGGCCCTGTGATGGCATGATGGCCAGCACATTGGTAAGTCAGTGAGCCTTTAATGAACTGTGGCCAGTCAGCTGGGCAGAGACTACCCACCATGCTGTGCTGGGCCTGCAGCTCGATCTCCAGGGCGTTGACTGTGCGTCTCAGCTCGATGATCTCTGTCTGGCAGCACTGCAGCTGCTCTGAGCTGGACAGCACCTGCTGGTTCAGCTCCTCGGTCTACGAAGGAGAGAATGAATGAAGAACAGAATGAGACCTCGTGTCTCCCCTTCACACAGCAACTCGACCCCACAGCCCACCGTCCTGGATCACCAGCCCCACCTGAGTGTTGAACCAAGCCTCCACGTCTCTGCGGTTATTCTCCACCAGGGTCTCGTACTGGCATCTCATGCCATCCAGTATCTTGTTGAGATCCACTGGAGGAGCAGCATCCACCTCCACATTCAGACGGTCTCCAAGCTGGGAACGGAGTGCATTGACTTCCTGCAGTGACAAAGCAAGATGGCATAAGGCTGTTAAAAAAAAAAAAAAAAAAAAAAAAAAAAAGTTGCTGGCTTGGTAGGTTCAGTGACCTGAGTTCAAATTCTCCTTCCTTCCTTGGGTACTGTGAGTTAGGAGAGCTGGTCTCTTTGAACACAGGTCTCCTCATTGGTCTATCTATACCTAGTCCCTCCTGAGGATTTGGGGGATGACACCCCAAGCAAATGGAATTATTATCAGACACCATAATCCAAATGGAGTTGTAGTGCCATGGGTGAGGATGCCGTCTCTGTGTGACTGTAGGCAAATGACATCACATCTTTACGACCATCTTCTCAGCTGTAAAATGGAGCTTATAGTGGGATCTACCTCTTGGGGTTACAGTAAGGATTAAATAAGACATAAAGTGCTTCATGGACTTCCTGCCATACAATAAGCCCCAGGGGCCAGCAGGGACTCCTCAGCTGGATGGGGAACTTGCGGATCAGGTGGCATCAGCCTCACCTCTTCGTGGTTCCTCTTGAGACACAGCAGCTCCTCCTTCAGGGACTCCACCTGAGCCTCCAGATCAGCCTTACACAGGGTCAGCTCATCCAGGATCCGGCGCAGGCCGTTAATGTCTGCCTCTACCAGCTGCCTCAGGGACAGCTCCGTCTCATACCTGCACACACAGAACACTGACTGCTAAGGGAATCTGCAGCAAGGGAAGCCCTGGGCTAAACTGCCATGGCTAACTTGGAGTCAGAAACACGGTAGTCCATCCTTTCCCTTGTCCCAGGAGGGGCCCAGGGCCTCTGCCATGTCTTTCCATTTACAGCTTTATCTGGCCTTACTCCCACCTCACGAGTTCCCAAAAGCTGGGGACAGAGTCTGACAGAGCAAAGCTCCCCTGGTTGGGCCACTCACTTGGTGCGGAAGTCATCAGCAGCCAGCTTGGCATTGTCAATTTGTAAGACAAGTCTGGCGTTCTCGGATTTGGTCAGCAGGATCTGAAAAACAAGAGGTTTTCCCTGAACTGGGGAAGGCCCATCAATGTGAGGACAGTGGCATGGGGAATCCAGCTCATAGATGCCAGTAAATACAGACATCGTCTTCAAATATTCAGACATGGAGGCAGAGCAGGCCCCAGGAGGGACACCACATCCCTGGCCCATTGGTCCTGGCTCCTGTAGCCTCAGTGGTGGTGCTACAGATATATCAGGGTGAGGTTCTGGTATATAAGAACTGGGTTCTGATTCTGGATCCCACAATCAAACTGTATGACCTTGGGCAAGTTGCTGAGCCTCTCAAAATTCAACCTCCTTATCTGTTATATGGGCATAGCAATACCCCTATCTCCAGGATGAAGGATAAGGAAGGCATCCGGTATAATACTACACCAAGTGGGGGCTAACATCATGATCCATCCCTCATGAAGCTAAGATAATGAGGGAAGAAGAGCAGCTGGTATACAGACTAGCAGAGAAGTCTGGTTCTCCAGGGAACAAAGCCCCAGAGAGTGGAGCTCTCTCCTTCCAGAGGGTTCCCTAAGCTTCAGAGAGTGGCTGAGTCTTGGAATAGGAGGCTTCCAGGAATTGCCTGGCCAACTGGAAGAGGACCTGGTTCATTACCTTCTGCTGCAAGTCCTCGGCGGTCTTAAAGTAGGACTGGTAGTCCGGACAGATGTATGGGACCTGACACTCATACCACTCTCGGATGCGGCACTCCAGCTGTGCGTTGTCCTGCTCCAGCTGCCGCACCTTCTCCAGGTAGTTAGCCAGTCGGTCATTCAGGACCTGCATGGTCGCCTTCTCATTGCCGTTGAAGGTGCCCTCACAGAACCATCCCCCACTCCCTGCAAAGCCAGAGGAGTGGCACCCAGAGGACAGATAGGAGCCGGGAAAGCAGCCCCCAAGGCCAGAGAAGCCTGTCCTGAAGGAGGGCATGGACCCCACAGTGCCAACCAAGCTAGGGGCCCTGTAGGAGCCCATGGAGTGGATGGAAGACATCCGAGAAAAGCTGCCTGAGGTGCCACAGAGGCCCTTGGCAGACCCAGTGGAGAAGGTCGGGGCGCAGATCTGAGTGGCCATGATGCTAGTGAAGGAGGTTGCAGCGTAGGCAGGAGCTCAGGTTGTGGACTCTCCAGGCCTCTCTACAGTGCTTATATACACTCTCCATGGGGTGTTGGCGTGTTCCAGGTCTTTAGCTCTTGGGAAAGCCCTTTCCAATCCCAGAAAGTGTATCTCATTAGAATGTCATTTTTGCTATCCATCAGAATGTCTTTCCTTGTAAAAAGGGGGGAAACATTGTTCGGTTGGGTTTGCTAAGTCAGGACTCCTCAGCCATCGTCATTTCCTAGCAGGCTGAATTTTATTACCTCTTCAAAGAGTCCTTGCCCCAGATCCCATAAACTGGGAGTGGCCTTGCATGTGACATTTGGTTTCTGTCCTCCCTACTTGTCTTCCCCCATGAACCCAATCTGTCCATCTATCATCCACACTCCCCCAGCTGTTCATCTATTCCCTGGGCCACCAGAGCGATAAAAAGGGAGTAAAGGATACATAATGGAATATTATTTGGCCATAAGGAAAAATAAAAATTTAGAATTTGCAGGAAAATGCATGGAACTGGAAGGTATTCTATTGAGTGAGGAAACTCATGTTGAGAAAGACAAGCCCTACATGTTCTCTGTCATATATGAACCCTCCAATTTTTACATCTCTGTATTCATGTAGGAGTGTGTGTAGAGGCCAGACATCTAGAAAGGGACCCATAAAAAAAGACTTTAAGGGGGAGGTCATAGAACATGTGCTGTGGATCTAGGAAGGGGAGACTGGGGTAGACAGGTTAAGGGGGCACAGAGTTGGGGGAAGGAAGTGAGGAGCAAGGGCAAGCAAAACTAATAGATCTCTATTTATATAGACACATTCTATAAGGAACCTGATTCCTTGTAAGCTAATTTTAAAAACAAAATAAGGGCCAGCAAGATGGCTCAGTGGGCTTGTGAAGAACGTGCCTAACAACCTGGCTTTGATCACTGGATCCCAAGGTAGAAGGAAAGGCCTGATTTCTAAAGGATGTCCTCTCCCTCCCCCCTCTCTCCTCTCCTCTCTCTTTCTCTCTCTCATACACACACTATAGTATGCACATGTCTGCACTCTCACACATATATCATGCGCACATACACACAATAATGATAATAATTGTAAAGCTAAAATATTTTTAAAAAGAGAGTGCATATAGGTCAGTGAGATGGCTTAGTGAATAAAGGCACTCACAACCGAGCCTGATGACCTAAGTTCAATTCCCAGACCCACATGGTAGAAGAAAAGAACCGACTACAAGTTTCCCTTTAATCTGCACACAAGTACCAAGTTTGCATGCACCTGTGTACACACATACACACAAAATTCTTTTAAAAATATAGCTTATAGATTTTCATTTAATAAAATTAAAAGAGAACTAGATGTGGTAGTGTGCCTGTGGTGTTCATTATTTTAACTCTTCCAGTTGTTCCTCATAACAGTCATGTATCATGCCCAGCAAACCTCAATCATTGTTTGAATACTCACTCACAGTAATCAGAGCCAGTGGTAATACTTAGCTCTGAAACCAGGGCTCTTACACCCCAATTCAGGGTACCTAGAACTTAGAGACAAGAGACCGATGTTGAAATACTGGCTCTGTCAATCTTTCACCCTGTGGCACTGAGCATGTCACCTCTCTAGGATCCTTAGTGGCCTGATGGGAACAGTAGAAATCACTGTGCTGTTCTACCTACTTCACACAGATTCAAGGAGAATCCAAAGGCAGCTGCAAATGTGCTTTGCAAGCCCCTAAATACTTCAGAAGTGATGGTTAGTCAAAAAAAAAAAAAAAAAAAAAAGATGATTTGTGGCAAAGACAGCAAGACTCATGGGTATAAGCATTCTGCTGGAGTTGCTGAGGTCTCTGTGCCACCCCCCAGCAGTATGGTGACAATGGGGGGGGATACCCAATAATCAATCCTTCAGACAGTTCCTGAGCTAGTCATCATGTAATCTGCCTATTTGCAGTCATGAGCATGGCTGGAAGACGATTTCCCTTGTAGTCTTCATCTTCCCTGAACCTGAACCATTTAGACCTTCCTGGTCACTGACCACATCCCAGCGATGACCAAAGGCAGAGAAGGAATAAAAAGAACAAAACCAAATAACTACCAGATGCCTAAGCAAGTCAAGAGAGGAGACCCTGGAAATCACAGACCAAAGATAGACTTGGTTCTTCTACCTCAAACCCTGAGCTTTCCCAAGCGTAGGAGATGACCCTGCTTGCCCTACCTCCATAGAGTCATTTTGCAAAGTTGGCGTTTATGGAGGCATTTATGTGCTTCTGAAGCTGTGGTTCTCAACCTTTTAAAAACACTTTATAAGCTTCTCTCTGAGATTACTCAAGGAGGGTGATTGGCTGTGGTGAACACACCCGGGTGGGTAGACACCTCCACAGCTGCCTGGGAGCAGCTCCGTGCAGCTCTTGCTGGTCTAGAGAGCCGGGGTATATCAGCCTCTGTACCCACAGCTCTAGCTGTCCCATCGACGACTTCCTTGCGGCTGCTTATCTCCACACTCTCCTGAAAGATCTAAAATACCCTGTTAAGAAGCCCCAGCAGTGTAGACACTGAGGGCTGAGCCATCCTGAGTTGTTCAGGGCTACCCTGTGCACTGTAGTTTCTCACCTCTAACACCTGATGTCATTCTCTTCTCTGTCTCCCTGTCCATCACCCCCTCCTGTCATGCCAGCTGCCCTGGGTTTCTGGGTGGAAGGGGACTCACCCTAACTCCCTGCTCCCTTTACACAGGGGTCCAGGTGGGAGGCCACAATGGTACACCAGGCTTTCCCAGGCTCACTGGGCCTGCTCATTCATTCATTTATTCATCCACTCACTCAATAAATATTCATTGGGAACCTACATTGCATGAAGCTTGCTCTAGTGTTAGAGAGTGAAAGAGATGAAGTTTTGCATCCACAGAGCAGGCGCCACTTCTTGGCCTAGTTATAATGACCAAAATTGCCTAGAGACATTTCCTGTGTCCCCTGGGAAGGGGAGGGTGATCATCTCACCCCCATCTGACAGCCTCTGAACTATCAGCACAGAGGCTGGGTGATGAGATTTCCCCTAAACCCCCCAATCCTATCTTCTAGGAAAATCATGGCGGAGTCTGCTCTCTTTGAGGCCCGCCCAGGCAAGCCCTTAACACAAGTAAATGCAGTTTACCTTCTTAACCACGTAGTGCTTGTCAAGCAAAATAGGCAAGAGAGAGGCCTTCTCAAACTCTGTACATGGTGTTTCTAACCATGCACATCCTAAGAAGCAGGAGACCAGGACTCCGGGCCTAGCTCTGCAACAATTCCCTGAGTGAGCCCCCTTGCACTGCAAAGGCTCACCCATGAGAACAGAAGAATCCTGCAGTTAGCTGCCAATATACATTCCGTGGAGACAAAGAGTTGGTGGGATGTGGCTGTGGTTTATTCTTTAGCCCCCATTGCCCCTGTCCCTATCACTCATCTACAAAATAAAGAAGAGTTTCAGAGGTTCAAACATGTCATGATTGAGGCTTCTTTTCTTTATTTTTTTCCTTTTTGGTTTTTGTTTGTTTGGTTGGCTGGTTGGTTGGTTGGGTGTTTGTTTGTTTGTTTGTTTGTTTGTTTGTTTTTCAAAACAGGGATTCTCTGTGTAGCTTTTTAGACCAGGCTGGCCTCAAACTTACAGAAATCCACCAGCCTCTGCCTCCCGAGTGCAGAGATTAAAGCCATGCACTATCAACACCCAGCCTTGAGGCTTCTTTTCTTTAAAACATCCATGTATTTCAGAGAATCCCTTTGTCTTCAGCATCACACACCACATGAAAATGACAAGAGCCCTCCTCCCTACCTTCCACTCCATGGGCTGTAGCAGCATAGACCCACCTCCCCAGGCTATCCCTGAGAAGGGCTCCTTCAAAGGTCAATGCCACTGGACATGAGCAGACACCCCAGCATGCCCAGGCTACAATGGCATCTCTGGCCAAGTAAGCTGCAGACCTCCCAGTACAGAAAAACTTAGATAACATAGGGATCTAAGCTGCTTGCTGCCTTTGAGCCTCCTTAGCAACAGGTGAGTGGATCTCTTGCCAGTCACAGAACTGTCAAAACTATCCTTCATAAATTAAAATTATATCATTGATTTCAAGAATCAAAACTACTATGAAACCCACATAATAGGAACTGAAGCCAAACGCACTGTCCGCTTATTGGAATAGTGATGTTTGAAGCCAAACCCTATTGTCCAAGAAGAGACAACTGCCCAGAGAAGCAGTGCTTGGTGCATGCAGAATACAGCAGTCCCTTTGGCCAGGATTCTCTATCAAGCCTCTGACCCTTACCCTAGAGCAGCGATTCTTAACCTTCCTAATGCTGTGACTCTTTAATACAGTCTTTCATATTGTGATGGCCCCTCAACCGTAAAACTGTTTTCATCGCTACCTCATAACTGTAATTTTGCTCCTGTAATGAATCATAATGTAATTATCTGTGTTTTCTGATGGTCTCAGGCAATCCTGTGAAAGGGTCATTTGGGACCCACAGGTTGAGAACCACTGCTCTAGCAGTTCCTTTGTGTCCAGGCACCAATTGCAGTGTTCAGAGAATGCTCTCTGTTCACCATGGCTCAGTTTGGGGGGACAGGGACAAGGGAAAATGCTGCTGGAGGAACAGAAAAGATCCCTTTCATCAAACCAGTCTTGGAAAGCCATCAACCTCAAGATCAATAGCCAGGTAAATGTCTTTGTTGCAAAAAGAGTCTCTACCTCAAATAAGCTTCCATCTGCCTAGGCCAAGACTTGAGATAGCAAGCCTGATCATCCTACCCTATTCTGAGCAGTCACTCCATCCTAAGAACACATGGAAGTCTTGTTGTGATGTGTCCAAGAAAAAGATGAGCTCACCCATCAGGGACCTTTTTTTCTGCTTCTCAAGGTTTTGGTCAGAATATTTGGGCCACCACACCACCACAGAACCCCCAAGGTAGCAGAGAAATCATATCAGACAGTAGCCAATGGGACAGCCAGGCCACCTACCAATGAACATCAATGAGAATAGGGTCACCCAAGATGACCAGTGGCTCTCCCTCTTCAAGCAACCTGCTGGCCCAGGCTTTATTTTTCTAGTTTTCTCATATCACTTGCTTTCATATTGAGGTCCACACACAGGTCCTAGAAAATCGCCTAACATAGAAGATACCCGAAAATTAGTTCCATGTCCTAACGTCTTCAGACCTAGGACCCCACCTACAGCTAATCCTCATCTCCTCCTCACAACTGTTCTTTCCTTATAACACAGAATTTGTTCAATCGTGAAGCACCTGGGATTTCTGGTCCCTCCACCTGAGAAGCCTGGTTACTAGATATGCTGCTTTAAATAACCACTGACATAGCTCCTGC